GTTATAAATAATAATAAAATGATACTCAAGCAAATGTTATAAAATCATTTTTAGATTAAGATCAAATTGTCTAATTTGATGTTAATATTTTTCCTATAAATCATATATCGAATTGAAATTGAAATTTAATTTAATTGTAACATGCAAGACATGTTTAAATATTTGTAGTAACACATAACACGCGCGCGTACATACATTCACACAGAATATTGATGTATATTTTAATGTAATGAAAAATATATGGAACAGGAACAAATATACAAATGGTTTATTTAAAAAAGTATATATATATATATATACACTGAAAGTAAAGTGTTTGGGATTTGAAATATTGGAACCATATCAATGTAATATGAAACATGCATATGTATATTTGTTATAAAAATAAGAAAATTATTTTTTACCACATATTATAATCTGGATTGTTTTAAATTAAAAAAAAAAAAAAAAGAAGAAAAAGAATCTCAATCATTATTTGTCATTATTAAAAAATGAATAAATTTTGTAAGAAAAACTTTTGTTCCTTCCATGATTTATATGATTCTCATATAAATTTCATTTAATTTCCCAAATTATAGTAACAGGAAAAATTAAGTAAGATAATTTTAATATGTTAACAAGTTTAGAAAATTTGATTACTCCAAAATAACATAACACAGTATAAGAAAAATAGGAATAATTCCTACATTAAAAATAGAGTAGAACATAATCATTTTTAATTCTAAAAAAACTTATTTTAATACAATTTGGAACACATTTGCTATTACATTTGTTACATTAGACAAATAAAATGTACTATGCTCCTGTATAAATATTACATGATATGAAATATTGTAAAAAAAATCTAAGGTAATTCAAAATTTTGTAAATGAATATGAAGGGAAAAGTGATATTACATATGAATGAAGTTAGAAGCATCATAATACCCTAATAATTATTTAGTATAAAAGTTTTTGTTATATATCAAATATTATTTTTTAATGACCTTTATTAGAATTTTATAAACGAATTTTTTACATTTGAAAATATATAAGATAGAGCCACCAGTTATTCGGTTTTTGTGCAAAACACTTAATATATCAGTGTTTCTCAAACATTGGCAGGCCAGAATATAATTTCTGATATGGGACAAATTAATGAACTTAAAACTCTACTCAAACACATAAATATAAAAAAAGAAATGGAAACAGATCACAGCTACACGTTTATGTTTGTTTACTATTTTATCAATCACGCAAAATTTTACTACAGAACACATAAGTAGAAAAGAATAGATAATAAATTTTGTATGTCAGTGTACTTAAAGCATTTGAGTTTCAGTGAATGATCTACATAACGCCGAAGCATGCACATTTATAGTGTAATTTCATTTTTCATTTGAAAAATGCAGCTGTGTAATTTATGATACAATAAGCTAAACTTAAATCTAAACCACGCTGCTGTGATCTCACCTTGAATTTGTTTTCACTCCTGCCTCAAAGTCTGAGACACGCTGATATATAAAGTTTGAAGATCTAAATTTGCTGAAATGAGAAAGAAACTCTTGGTGTAACTTGATGGAAATTCATATTATGAGATGGCCCTATCCTGTGTCCCTGCCATTCTGTCTGTTTGCTCCTTACCAATAAATTTGTAAAGTTTCATTTAAATCTACTTTCCAAAATATGTATGTAAAATTAATTTTTTATAATATTCTTATACCCATATTGGGACACAAAAATTGTGTAGCATTGTACTGCTTTTTATATATACATGATATCAGTATATTTATAATTCAAAAATAATATGTAACACTGTATATTCATTTCATGTTTTTCTTATATTAAATGTTCGTAAACATACCTGTGTAAAAAAGAATTAGTGTCCAATGTTAACATTAAACAATCTACCTCCAATTTCTACTAACTTACTAA